CACTACAAAAATAGGCATTTTGTTTCAACACCTCTGGTGTCTTATCAAGTGATGATGTTGAATGTAAAATAAATGGTTTTAAAAGTTTCAAATTAATTAACGATCCTTCGCAAGAGGAAAACGCTGTTACAAAAGCTAGAATGACCAATCAAAACACAAGTATAGGAGAATTCAAAAACTTGACAACGAAGTAAGGTTATAATAGCTATTAAGAGCTTCAAAGTTGGGGTTGTACTAAAATAGAATTTATTCTAACCAATGAGTATTAAATTATATGATAAAATTTGATATTAAAAGAAAGACCTCTACTCTGTATTAAGCACTCTTTTAAGAATAGTAATTGTTGGTTATTGGAATTTATTCCTTATACACCAATCATATACAATTCGCTCCAAGCAAGGCGATACTGCCACTAAGGCGCAAGGGGGCTGCTGGAAGTGAAACAGAATGAGAAGGCGTTAGATGGAGTCGGAAACCTAATCCTAAGCAGGAGACCAGGAATAAAACTCGATTCCTGTTCAAAGACCAGGGAGTAGTGCGAACCAGACGGTAAGTCGCAATATATATATATATATTGCGATTTTCTCAATTCTTTAGTTCGCGCGACCGTTACGCACTACCAATACCTCATAAATAATAGACTAATTGACCATATGAAAAGAGGGGAAAAGACATTACTTGGTGTCCGTCAGAACAAGAAAGAAAGAAAGAAAGAAAGAAACAAGTGGAGCGAGGTAATCAGCTTATGCTGATGATAACAAATACTACACTTTGATCTTAGCCAATGAGCCGAAAATCGATTATATTTCTTGACTCTCCACGCTGGCAGAATGTGACACAAAGTCAGTTTAATGGGGAGAGTCCGAGCGCATACACTCATGCCCATTCAAAAATAGAGCAGCACCCACAGTTGTCGTATTACTACCGATTCCTTCTCTTTAGCGCAAGAGAATCTATGTCGATCTTGATAAAAGTGGCATTTTTTAGACGCACATTATCAAAGAATGAAAACCGAATAGGGAAATCACCAATAATCCAGTTACCATAAATAAAATAACATTTTCTACTGAATTATTTTGAAATTATTATTAAGAGAAATATTCGAGAGGCGGGATTTGGCTAGAAAGAAAGGAAGAAAGAAGTGTTTAACGTATCCCGCCATTACCTCATAAATAATGGACTATTCCGTCTTGATTTAATAGAAAAAAATCATACACTACTTGCTTTCAGTGAGAAATGAAAGAAAGAAGGAAAGATAGAAATGTTTAACAGGTGTTTGAATAAAAAAATTTTATTTGTACCGACTCTTTAAAATATCGACCAGCATTCATATTTATGATTCTTATTGCAATTATTTGTTAAGTTCAAAAATTTAACGACTAGTATTTATATGATTCTTATTGTAATATTTTGTTAAAGTTGTTAAGCTCAAATATTTAACGATGGGATAGGAAAATTCCTATGGCTATTTTATTGTCACAGAACTCGCTTATTCAATCATTAACTTAAGAATTAAGATACATTATAAAATTAAAATAGGAAAACAGTGAAAATTTCTTTCTTTTATATATATATATCTATCTATAAAAGGCAGGATGTGTGTATGTGTGTGTGTGTGTGTGTGGGTGTGTGTGTGTAACGAATGCATAACAAATGCATGATAATTTTCGACGGAATTGCACCAAAATTTACATGCACATGCTCCAAGTTAGCGGGAAGGCCCACACCGACTTTGCATTTCCCTACTCCCATCGATAGTGGAAATAATCGATTTGTTCATGCTTCTACGGCAGTTTTCATGCGGTTTGCGGCCATTTTCTACTGGCCAGAGTGAGAGCCTATAGCTGGCTGCCACGAATAGGCAGGAAGATTCTATTGGCCAGCGTGAGAGCCAACAACTGACTGACACGAATGTTAACTAACATGCTTGCATGCAAAAATAATCGATAGCTGCATTCGTCACAAGTGGGAAAAATTTAAATCTGCATGGCACTTTACTCCAATTGGCTCATTCGCTTGCTTTAAACTCAATGTTGATTCTGATTACGCAGAACTGGGTTTGGGTGTGAAAAAGTATTTTTTGTTAACATTCTTTTTTCATTCGGTTTTTCCAGTCCTTTTTTAAAGCTGATCGTTTTGTGTTCATTTTGTTTAGTTCTTTTTTCATAACAAATTTAATGTTTAATATAGAGCTTAGAAAAAATTCGCAGTGTGAGATAGGAAAGAAGTAAGGCATGTAGCAACATCAGCACTGCAAAGGGCACTCCTTTAAAGGCAAAAATATTTTAAGTCAAATGATAGAGATTGCTGTATGAGAACGATTTTTGAATCAAGCACGGGCAACGCCTGGCCATGCTGCTAGTTATTTCTATAGGTGTTATTATCAGTGGATACATGTGTTTGAGTTGAAAACCCTGTTTTATTTGTTTTGTTTTTTTTTTTTGTTTTTCTTAAACAGTGAAATTTATGACAACCGCCCCAGATCGAGAAGTTCTATTAAAGAAAGATTGTATCTCCCGACTGGACATCCCACAATCCAGACAACGTGGTCCTCGAATTGCTCAACAAGCATTGAAGTGCAATTTCATCGTCAAAGACTCTACTGTAAAGGCCAGGTCATTGAATACCCAAGCAAATGCTCTTTGGTGAGTTGCTCCAGGCCACTCGATACAACATAAACCAAGAAAATGATTCAAAAATTGTTTCAGAGAGTCCCTTGCAACCGGCCATATACAATGGGAAACTTCTGCTTGAGATCGAAATAAGGGTCGTACAATTCCTGAAGACACTAAGATCTTCCAAGAACATGCAACGAGTTGGGCGAATGTCTCTCCAATACATGCTTCGTTAGCCACAAGATTCACATTGATAGACTTTTAACAAATCAATACTACGCTCGGCATAACATACGAGGTGTATCGGAAAGCTAAAGAAAACACATCGGTTTCGTCCGTCTAATTAAAACTCACCTTCAGCCTGAATAGAAATTGAAAAACAGACCAGAATCTGTACAGTATAGCTTAGTTTTCCACGTTGCAAGTTACTCGTTTAAAGAATCATTGTCGTTCTCAATGGAACAAAATTATGGGTTCAACGCGTCAGCGATGGTCATATTTGTTTTGTGAGTCGACAGCCATCATATATGTAGCAGTTAATATTTGGCAACTTATTCTAGAATTTAATCTAGGACATACCTATATAAAATTTTGAACTGTTAAGATCTTCCATATTTCTAAACGAGCGAACGAAGCGGAAATGTGTGATAAAAAATCATCAGTCAGAAATGTTTACTGTTGCTCGAGTTTCACACTTGAAAAACTCCTTTGTCGTAAAGTTATTCTTGTGAAATCAAGTCGAGCATAAAACTGAGAGTAATCCATCATTCAACTAGATAGATAGATAGATAGATAGATAGAAGTAGACAATGAGAGTGAGATAACAACACATTAAGTTAATTACATAGATAATACATGGGTAAATAAAAGTAGACAGATATATATTTATAGAGAGACAGAGAGAGTGGGATGAGAATATATTGAGATAGTTAATTAGATATGACATACTGAAAGAAAGAAATAGAGAACAAACTAAATTAGATAGATAGATAGATAGATAGATAGATAGATAGATAGATAAGACAAGTGCATTCTTTAAGAGATTAATTGAACTTTTCTGAGATGTAATGCTCTGTATGGCTGAGCTATTTAAAGTACGTCGGATCAAAGGGGAACGCAGGCTCGAACTCTGCCGGAGAGTACATATTGCTCTCAAAAGTAGCAGATCAGTAGACACTGTTTTAAAAAAGAGGGGCGTCTACTCAAAGCCGTGTATACACAAAAATGATGTTTAGCGCAAATAGATAGATTAAATGTGCTATACTTGCTGGTTGAAGAGCTTTATCGTAGATACAGCGTTTTTAGATATAGATCGTTGGGACATAGAAATGAACAATGCTTGCATTCAATTTCATGCCTTTGAGCTGAAATCATTTTTGTGGGCTTTATCTATGGACAAGCTGGGGAGCTTAACTGAAGCGTGGGAAGGGAGAAATAACACTTCCTGTTTCTTTTGTTTTTGTTTTTTAGGTGGACCCTTAATGAGGAAGGATGGTTTGGAAACGTGAAACCACACAGAATATATCGAGGACAGATAGGGGAAAGCAGCGAGCCAGTTACCTGACGAGCTTGGTCGAATGGATGACGGAACGGTGAACGGAATCATAGCAAAGGTAAAAAAAAACTGCCAAGAGCCACACGAGATAGAAAGGTGTGGAGAGCCATGATTGCCTCTGTTCTAAAGGAACTCGACATATTGATGATGAAGAAGAATGATTATTTATTATTTTGAGTTTTGTAAATTATTTAATATATTTTTATTTTTTATTTAAGACTAGCAGTAGGTCCCGGCGTTGCCCGGGGATGTAACAGTAAGTGATAGATCAAGTATCGACCATCATAAAGACTGAAAATTAAATTGACAAAGATTATTGCTTAAGGTTGACGGACACGCATGTCTCAAGTAGTTTTTTTTTTTTTTTTTAAATTAGTCAAACCGAAACTCAAACAAAAACATTGTTTTCAATCGTTATGAGTCTACCGATTGAATAGAATTTTATTATAAACAATTGTCTTTTAAATGGAATTTTTAAAGCATTCTGAATTTAAAAATAAAGAAAAAAGTGTGCAAGACAATAAACACTACCTGCCAAAAAAAAGTGAAGTTTTGTTGAAATCGGTTGAAAAATGTAGGAAATCCGATCCCATATATAAACGAAACAGACACACACACACACACACACACACACACACACACACACACACACACACACACACACACAACCTGGGTTTTATAATAAGTATGATTCCGTCTTGCTTACTCGGACATTCATGAATCTATCATATCAACCATCACGGCCTTGCATGAAGGTCAGAAGGGCATTAACTCTTTGAACCGTGACCACCGCTTTACCGATGGTAGAGAAAAATGACTTAATGCCCAGCTACCGGTTGAACGATGGGTAGTAACTATTTTTATATCTACCGTGAAACATTACGTACCAATTATTTGCGAATTTTGACTCAGCAGCTCAGAAAGGCTAAAATTGTTCAGGAATGCATGGATCAAAGGGTTAAGATGTCATTCTGTGTCATAACGTAACTGGTCTATGTAGGTGGTTGATGGACGAACAATCGTCTTTCACCATATCACGAATGCCATGGGCACTTCGAAGTGGTGTAATGGTTAACAAGCTTGTCTCACAAGAACATTTATGACCAAGTAGTCAGTTCGATCCTCACTAGGTGACTCATACTTTCGGCCTTGTGCCACGCTTAGAAAATTCCCATATCACGAATACCAGAAATCCATTTTATTTTATTGTTATCTTATTTATTAGTAGAGACAAGGCGATAACAATAAATAAAGAATGCATTAAACCTTATATTTCAATTAATCCACACTAAGAAAATTAAGATTATTTAGATTCATGAATAAGCGAATAAATTATTGAATACATATTCTGAAATTCGGGATTAGATTCTAGGTAATGTGGACATTAAATGGGAGGACCCGATTCTGATTAATATATATTACTAACTGTCGCTCCATACGATCAACAATTTCTGAAATCATATAAAGCAGATTCTACACCGTATGCTGGTGTTGCTCACCATGAATCCAAATTAAAGGAATGCGAATTAATATTCGGGCAATAATTTAAAAAGATCAGACGTTATCGCTGGAAAACGCTGACGTCATAGACACCATTTCTGCAACACTGCCCCATTTCTGGTAGCTAAAACTGAAAAAGAGGCCAAATTAATGCAAATATACAGAACATCTCTTATGCGTAAACACTCATAATTATAATACAGCATCTGCTTGAATTTTCCCCGCTTTCCCAAGTTTTCTATTTATTTCTCTGCGATGTAACAACATTTCAGCCTGTAACTACTCTCGATAAATATAGACAAATGCACACACATACGCGCACACACGCACATACACAAACACACACACATATATATATATATATATATATATATATATATATATATATATATATATTAATGAACGTAATTAAATACTAATACGTTTTTATATGTCATTATTTTTAATATTTACATTTTAATTTGATATATATTTGAAGTGAGTAATATAATAATCTAAATAATGTATATAAAACATTTTAAAAAGTCGTTATATTATTAAACAGATAAATTCTGAATAATTTAGCATCTAGAGGCGCGTATAAGATATATATGTGTGTGTGTGTGTAATTCAAAACATCAATCTTTTCACAAAAACAAGCTTTGTCAATATATATATATATATATATATATATATATATACATATATATATATATATATATATATATATATATATATATATATATATATATATATATATATTGACAAAGCTTGTTTTTGTGATTGATTTTTTTATTACACACACACACACACACACACACATATATATATATATATATATATATATATATATATATATATATTTAAATATGTTTGAAACAGTACAGAAGCGTATTAAGGCATAAAAAGCAAGAAATTTTATATTGTAGGCCATAATAGATTTAAAACAAAAACACACACCAGTCGACCGGTTTCATCCCATCTCATCAGAACTGTCATCCATAACAGACTTTCTTTTCCTTTTCTTCATAATTTTAGTTCCCCGTTAACAGTTCTGAGTGTACCGAACAATTACATAAAGGTTCGTCTACTTAACTCCAGAGTTGAGTTGCTGAACAAACAGCTAAGTGAAAAATTTTATATTTGTATTAATCCTAAGATGTTTATATCGAGATTGAATTGAAATTATTAATGAAGTGTCCAAAATATATTTTCCTCTTCAAGTACTTTCGACTATCTCAATCATTATCAAAATTTGGGTGTTCTCAGTATGTTAATAAACTTTTTGAGTAAATCCCGGCCTTTTGCAGACACATACATACATATATATATATATATTTCAAATTTAAATAAAAAGTATTAGGAAAAAAAAAAACCCGAAAATCTTTAAATTTAAAAAATGACGTTGAAATTTTTTTACCGTTAACAATTTAAAAAAAAAAAAAAAAAAATTCAGACGACATCCATTCAACTGATGTCAGGTTTCATTGTAAAATACATCCCTACCCCTTACCAAATTGTAGCTAATAACTGATACAATGATACTGACATAAGGAAAATCTAGACATCCCTTGTTCAATTTAAGTAGAATATTCTGTAACCACGGAAACGTGATTTTAACTGTGTCTTTAAAACCCGGAAATTTTTAAAAGTTACTCCAAAATTCGCTTGAAGATGAAATGGAACTAATGCTTTTAATTTAATTGCAAAATTAAATTCAGGGGTTTTTAGCTTCTATTTTTTTTGAAACATGGTTGGAACTGTGTAGCGAAAAAAACCATATTTTAAATCAATTAATTTATAATATTAATGCTCTGTAAATTTACATTGAGCAATATTTTGTAAAAATAAAAATATCTATAAGAACACCGGATTTTATATCTTACTGTTCTTTTTTTTTTTTTATATATATATATATATATATATATATATATATATATATATATATATATATATATATATATAACGTCAAATTAATAAATCCCGGGTTGTTTCTATTGTTATAAAATTATATTTAGGTGATATATGTCCTTGTGCAAACACCTTTTTTAAACATTAAAATTAACCTCTATCGGCCGAGTGAAACATTGAAATAAATATCTATCGGTCTTTTGGAGAGTGGCACATTTTCTTTATTATGATTTTTCGATATCTAGACCGGTAGCCACTAAATATGACACTTATACCAATATATATATATATATATATATATATATATATATATATATATATATATATATATATATTACTTCAAACGTTGTTATAGTCGATACTCATATTTAAAATTTTTGTTTTTTTGTGTTTATTACGTCTATTGGCCTGTACATTCGAGAAATTCCTCGAATATACAGGTCGATAAATATAATACATACTCTTTGAAATAAAAGGAAATGAGGCTTCTATTTAAAATAAACATGGCCATTATAATAACGTTTGGTGTAATAAAAATATCGTAGTAGAAATAAGATTAGTACAAATAAAATTTGGAGTGGAGGTGCAAAATATAGCATCAATCAGCTAAGTAACAATTCTCACTTGTACTAATCTTATTCCTACTACGATATTTTTTATTACTTCAAACGTTATTATATATATATATATATATATATATATATATAGTTTTAAAGTTTCATGCTGGACGCAATCGTCAGGCGGCCTTATGATTGCGTCCAGCATGAAACAGCCTGTCGCTTCTGAGTGCTGACTTCAATGTTCACTTTTATATATATATATATATATATATATATATATATATATCGGGTGTAACAGCAAAATTGTCCAAATCGTGTGACAGTATAATTCTCAATCCCACAAAATGTTTAATATCTAAGACAAATCAACAACAAAACTAATCAAATTTCTTTTTTTCCAGACTTTCAGATAAGACGTTTGGACATCTTGGCCTAATTTTTCATAAGAGTCACTCAAAAACCCTTTGAATTATTCAGCTACAAATTTAAAATCGTCTTCCGAAACTGAGCAACGGTAAGAGGAAAAAGATCATTCAGACCTTCGGTAATAGTACCAACATTCATACTCTGGCTTACATCTTCAAAGTCTATTCAAGAACCATCAAGTGAACGGTGAATAAGTTTTAAAAAGCGGAAACAATAGAGAGGAAAACTGGATTAAAATGTCGAAACAGGAAGAGGGATTATCATTTCATCTTTGAAGTAAAGAGATCAATAAGAAAAGATCTAACTCAATTCATAATACGTTTGACACGTGAGAAAGGAGTTTCCACTATGACAGTCCAAAGAGCAGTGAAAAAAGACTTGAAAATGAAATCGTACGTAAAAACTGTGAGCCACCTTGTTACTCCAGGATAAAGAGTTAGAAGGTTAGAAACGGCAAAAGATCATCTTGAATAAATTGGAAAAGGATCCTGGAATAATCTTCTACACAAATGAGAAGAATTTTACACAGGATCCGTACACAAACTGGCCTCAGATCCTCACTAGAGAGACAAGAATGTAACTTTCAAGTGCAAAAACCCTTCCAAGATAATGATTTTTGCCTGTGTATCCTCTGATGGCAAGAAAATGTTGATCATGTTTGCAATGATGAGAAACTGACAGGGGATTGCTATGTTCAAATTTTGAAAAATGTATAGACCTGGATCCTTTCTGAATATCCTGCGGCTAGAGACAATCGAAACCCCAACAAAATCAATAAGGCCTTCAAATTTACATTCCAGCAGGATGGAGCTCCTTGTCTCACGAGCGCAAGGATGAGTTTGCAAACAGGTTTGGGGATAAGAAAACCCGGCCTCCTTCACCGCCTGATTTAAACCGCTTAGACTTCAGTATCTGGAATGAACTGACCAGAAAAGCTTGTGAGATGCTCCACAGTAACATGCAAGCCCTAAAAAAAATACATCAATAAGGTCTGGGTGGAGAACGTTGATGAAGAATTCAGTAAAAAAGCTTGTGCTGCATCAGGGAAGAGAGTTAAGGATGTCATTTGTAAAGGTTTAGCAACACATGATGCCTTATCAACTTAAAATAAATACTAGTATTTAAGCCTCCATTTGAACTATTTTGATCCTTCATGAGCTTCCAATCCTTAGCTATGATTAATTAGTGATGAACATGTCATTTTCATTTATGATCGATTTCATCGCAATTCTTCTGTTAAACTTGGAGAGTGATTATATATTCTTAGTGTTCAAATTAGAGTCCAATATTGTTATAAAAAGCCAGTTAAATTCTAGTAAGATATCTTTAATCATTTTAAGATACAACGGTTCAGAGCTTAATCTAACAATTGGACAATTTTGCTATTACACGAATTGAACAATTTTGCTGTTACACGAATTGAACAATTTTGCTGTTACAAGAATTGAACAATTTTGCTGTTACACCTGGTACATATATAGTGCGAGAGAGAGAAAGAGTGACGGAGAGTGGGATTGAGAATAAAGGAGAGAAATGGGAATTGATTTAATCTGCTTTTTCAGTATACCTGATCTATGAATGCGTCCTCATTCCAATAGTGACTTTCCAAAACAATTAACCGTCATATATCAAGGTTATTCGAGGACAATCAAATGGGAAGGACTTTGTTGCACCAAGTTTTCAAATGTGAAACTCCGGCTTAGCTTAAAATTTTTAAATTCAAAATACTTCATCTTACACCGATGACGATGATCGGAATCTACAACTGCTACAGCCACTGCACAAACAAGAAAAAAAGAAACTATATGCACCAAAGAAAGAAAGAAAGAAAGAAAGAAAGAAAGAAAGAAAGAAAGAAAGAAGCACTCAGATACTTAAGAAAGAAAGAAAGAAAGAAAGAAAGAAAGAAAGAAAGAAAGAAAGAAAGATCTATATATATATGTGAAAACGAGGAAGAGAGTAGGAGTGAGTTTTTGATAATTTCCTTTTGCCATTCCACAGGAACCTTCTTTGACAATTCCCCAATATATTATTCGTTTCCCAAACTATGAAGTTGACACCAAAAAAGTAGTTCGGGAGAAATATGAAGCCTTGAAGCTTCCATGAAACCACGAACAGAATATCTAATTAGACGATACTTCACTTTCCGCGTGTTTAATGAAAAAATAAATATATAAATATATAAAACTGACGAAGAAAATTTCATTCAAAATGAAATGATCTTTTGCACAAAATTAGTTCTGATGCATATTCGAACGAAGTTTGTTGAATTTTTTTTCTTGTTTCGGTATTCATAATTTTATTTATTGTACGCAATTTAATTTCTTTCTTTTCTGTAGTTCCTTCCTAATCAGTTCCATTCTGTCGTTCGGCAAAATAGAAAACCGAAATATGAAAAGGAATTAAATGAAATATTTGTCATCATTATTGCGCAGTTCAATGCTGCCGACAGTGAACATAAAATGATGACGTCAGCAAAAAGGATGAAAAATCAAAAATAACGTTTCTTTTTTTTTTTTTTTTTTACCAGCACAACTCAGCGCAAACGAAATGCTGTAGTCGTCCATATGTGTGTGTATGTGGAATGTGTGACTGCAAAGTAATTCAAAAACAGACAGATATCGACAAGCCAATGCACACGGATTCAAAGGATTAATATCTTGCAGATATTAAATTTTTGAATATTTAGATTGTTTTCAGTTTGATGGGCAGAGTCGGCGTTCGTGCTGAACAAACTAGATTTTGATTTCTTGTTCGATTTTGCAAAGACAAACTAATCAAAACAAAATTAAAATAAAGTAAATTTTCTTCTTAGAATGCAAGTAACGAATGGCAAGTTTCTAATGTCGACGTTTTTCTTTCAAAAGACAAACCTGATAAAATTGTAAGGATAATCCTTCGTGGACTTAACAAGAGTGACATAAATGGGCGGCTTTCTGCACTAGAAACTTTGTGTTTTGATCAATGCTGGTAGTGGTCTGCTCTGCTGACATATTTAGGGCGTGGTGGGAATAGAAATATGACGAGCTTACAATCCGCCATGTTTGAAATTGTTCTGTTTAATATTGCAAATAGTTTCTCTGTCCTTGGCTGTCTTGTAAAATCATTTAATTATTTCCAGACCGGGACAGTCATATTTTATTTTATGTAAAATAGTTAAATATAATTATTTCGGAACTTTATTTTTTCTCAAAATAATGCCATTCAAATAGATAGATAGATAGATAGATAGATAGATAGATAGATAGATAGATAGATAGATAGATAGATAGATCTCCTGGGCCGTGGTGCAGAAAAACTGTGTATTCAAACTCCTGTTATCTTGTAGGTTTTTCTTTGCTGGGAAAAGACTAAAAGGAGTCAACTCTAATGTAAAACTAGCAAGCTGTATCTTACTTCGACTTGTCTCTGGATTATTTGTCTTTTTGTGCAAATCTAATGTTAGAAAGAGACATATTGGATTAGAGAGTCGATAGCTCTCATCATCATCATCATCGTCATGCATGTATGTATGTAGCAATTGTTTAAATATATAGGGCAGACTGAGCTCTTCATCCTTGAGTCGCAACCAGTCAAAAGAAGGATCAACTCTGATCAATACATGCGAATGAAGCGATCATTAGTTATTTTGAACTTCTTCTTCCTGGATTATGTTCATGTTGTACAAGTATCTTTCACTATAATCTCTCTGAGTTGCAAGTACTTTCTTCCTTGTAAGGAAGATGTTACGCTTGAAATCGAGTAGACAGTCATCAGAAACATCTATATATACGAAAGTTCCATTAAAAACCAGAAAAATTTATTGGTCCTTTCAACATTTCTAATAAGTTTTCAGATCTCTTGTTGGTATTGGAATATGAAATTCCCCATAGCTTCTTAGTAGCTTCGTCTAACACCACTGACCATTTTTAAAGGGATTTTTGTTACAATATCATCAGTTAATTTTTCAAACATCGCGTTTTTGCGTGTTGGCTTATATCAGTAGTCACATGAGAGTTCTTCTAATTACATAATATATATATATATATATATATATATATATATATATATATATATATATATATATGAATTGAGTCAAATATGTATTAAATCCGACAGAATTATAGAATAAAGAACAAATAGGAAACGTTTATTTATTTAACATATTTTGCTTTTTTTTAATCATCTTCACCCCATGCAAGACACAAGGGTTACAGGGTGTGGAAGAATTAGGAACAGAAACATTAATAATGAGCGGGAAGAAAAAAGAAATATCAAGAGGACAGTAGATAGAGATTGACATTGCATTTAAATTTTTGTATATTGGCTGGGAAGCATGCTGCCGAAAGGGAATTCCACAAGTGCGAGAAAAGAAACTATTAGCATAGAATTTACGTCTACATCTATAGCCAGCACACCTGTAAATTGATGAGATCTTTGACACCAGTCTAGTACTGAGCTTAAATTAAAAAATCTAAGTACCATAGCGAAGAGCTCATCCGAACAATTACCATGAAAGTATTTATAGAAACGGCACAGGGAGGTAACCTTACGGCGGTCGGAAAGTGACGGAAGCCGAGAGGCCGGATCAGGACCAATAATTTTGCTTTTATTTAAGCTCCATCAGCATTTTTAGGAAATGGGTTAGGGAAGAGAAAATTCCGCTACTTTGAGTTCTGTGTTGTCCATTTTCCATTGGTCATTTTACTTGTTTATGCCTTATTGTGTGTGTGCGTGCATGCGTTCGTGCGCGCGCGTGTCTGTGTGTGTGTGTGTGTGTGTGGATTCTAGCGAGCATTTTTGTGTCTTTCTGGAAGTGTTTATGTGTTTAATTCCCTGTAGATGATAGCCGGGAGAGGAATGTGAAGTGTGTGCGTATCCAATTTCTAGTTGATCTTACAAGAATTGGTGGTTCCGGTACGTGTGCTGACTGTTGGTTAGATATGTTTTAATGTTGGGGTAAATTCTATAGTTGAGGAAAAATCGTGTATATCAAGAAATTTGGAGGTGTGTGTGTGGGCGGGTGTGTTCTAGCTCAGTTCTATTATTATTATCATATAACTTTTGTCGATGAAAAATCGTGTGTCGGAAAATTTTGCGTATGTGTGTGTTGGTTTAATTCTATTATTGATATTATTGTTATTATGTTTGACTTGTGAATGTACCGGGAGATATTGTTGGGATGAAAGCTTGCATCGTCCACAGGTATCTGGATCCTACTTTCTTTAAGTATGTCTTTTTTAATGTTACTGGTATGAAAAAGTGCTTCTGTCGTGTGTTTCCTGGTGAAAAGTTATTAATTAATATTCCTTCTAGATATTTTCTTCGTACTGGGACATGTTCTTTTTTATTGGGGTTGTATTTTGTAAATCAAAATTATGGCCTGTTTCATGCGTTACGAGAGAGTGCAGTGGGTTATCCGAACCATCACTTGATATGACACTAGAAGTGTTGAAACAAAATGGCTATTTTTGTAGTGATTTTATAACATATTTATATTATAATTTTCGAATAAATTATATTTGCTCTACTCTGTATTAAGCACTTTTTAAAAATAGTATATTTTGGTTATTGGAATTTATTCCGTATACACCAATACTATACTTGTATAGATAAATATATATATATGTGTGTGTGTGTGTGTTTTGTGTGTGTGTGTGTGTGTTTTGTGTGTGTGTGTGTGTGTTTTGTGTGTGAGAGAGAGAATGTGTCTGTGTCTGTGTGTATTTAGGCAACAAATTCTCTTTTAGGCATGCCTGATTGAATAAATTACAGACATTATGTCTACTAATTTTTAACAAAATCCGTGCATACTCATGAATTAATGTTAAAGGATGAGAGAAATGCGCTATAGATATTTAAATTTCTTTGAAGATGATCTTAGAAGAAGATCAAAAGTATTTGGGAAATGAAAATAAAGAAATTTTAAGGTATAGCACATTTCTTTCATCCCTTAACATATATATATATATATATATATATATATATATATATATATATATATATAACAACTTTCCAAACAACTAAACTTTTATCCAGATACTGTCTCTAATAAAACCAGCAATACTGAATAAAGAGAATAAAAACCCTAAAAGCAAACTTACCTACTCAGTATTTATTTTTTGCAAATTCCTTTCATATCGTCTTTAAGTTTAATAACATTATCATTGAAAGACGAAAGAAAATCACCATATTGATACATGTTTTTTAATCCTATCTAAGCTTTCGGCTCAAATAAGTCATCATCAAAGATGACAATAGCATTGCAATATATTAAACAATACACAGACATGCCAATAATGATAACCTGTTTTTGTTTGCATGGAAGATTTGCAAGTAACCACAAACAGTGTGCATACGAGACGCTGGAAAGCGAAAATCGCACCGCGGCACATGACATCACATATGATCACGCGAGAGTGAAAACGAGAAGTATTAAGTATGGTTTAAGCTGTTGGTATAAAGCAATGGGTTATATATCCGTTTATACCAACATTCATCAATGAAAAAATGCTGCCTAAATATATATATATATATATATATATATATATATATATATATATATATATATATATATATATGTCCATAATTATCTTGGGATATATAAGTCTTCAGTACATTCATAGATCGACTTTACTTCATCGATAAAGAACGGAACAAGCACGGCGTCTAACACTCAAACAACCCAACATTCAAACAATACGTTCTGTCTTTTCTCCGTGTAGGAATGTTCTGCCAGCCGAATACAATTTAATTTCCATATTGCCGTCAACCTTTCAGAAGAGACAAAAGGATCGGCGAATGAGTAGGAAGGGAGGCAACTGGACGACAAGTGATTGGCAAGTCATAAACACATTCCCAACCAATTGCCTTGGGCGTTAAACTGACCAATTAACATCGGCCTGATGGGTGACGTCAGCAAATGGCACCGAGCCAGTGTCTTCCACTCTGGGAACTGAGCATCTGATGATTTAGAAGCATTTATGTCTATTCGATGTAAAAATTTCGCAATTTCTTCTTCTCTTATGTGCCGTGTCCCCTCAGGACGTAGGCGATCATGGCTCTCCATTATTTCCTGTCATTTGTATCCTTTAATAAATTTTGTCTTTTATGTTATATCACCTAAACACTGTTCTTCCATCCATTTACTTAAGATCACTAAGTATGTTGTGCGTTATTTCAATCTGCCCTGTTAGTATCAGATTTTCCAAGTAATCTTTCCTCATTATGTACACTAGAAATTTAAGCTCTCTCTTTCTGTTGTTAAGTGTATAAGTTTCCTTTTTGTTTCTATTGCTCAAATGTTCAGTCTATGATATCCTCAGCAACCTTCTGTAGAACCACATTTCTATTGTGTCAAGACTCTTCTTCATCTGAGGAGATTGTCCAGCATTTACTGACATGCAGCAGGATAGATATTACATAACAATGCAGTATTGTTTTCTTTGTTTCTAGCGAAATGTTCTGGTTTCTTAATACTCTGCTTAGTTTTTGGAATGCATCTTTGGCTATCCCTTGTTTTGAGAAATTAATTTTAATTCAACATTTGGTACCGCCTTTCTCGCAACACATTTTTACAAAAGAATCCGTATTCAAGTAATAAAATACTCATACTGGTTAATATTAATAATAATAATAATAATAATAATAATAATAATAAAAAGTCAATTGTTACACTTTCATCCCTTCTTTTTTTATCTTGAACCATAAAGTAATGAAACAATTTTAAAAGTAGTAATAAATGTGCCCAGCAGGCATCCCTTTCCCCCACCCACCACTTATTAAATACCACAAACAAAAACGGTCCCTCCTTATTGATATGGCAGTCCCTGCTGACTGCAATGTATCTTTGAAGATATTCAAAAAGCTGTCAAAATACAAGGACCTTGAAATAGAAATCTCGAAAATGAGGCATATGGGAACATCAACAATCCCTGTTGTAGTTGGAGCCCTAGGACTGGTTGGAAAAGATTGCAGTAGACTAATTGAAGGGATTCCTGGAAGTCCATGCCTCAAGGAGATACAAAAAATTGTTCTGACAAGTACAGCCCACACTTTACGAAGGGCTTTATTTATGTAATTTCTTCTTTTTTTTTTTTTTTTTTTTTTTTTTTTTTTGTCAGTGGAAAGTGTCATGCTGCCATTTCTAACCTTAGGTCCCTGGGCGGGACCCGGAAAGAAATGTGTAAACGCCAGAAATCAAAGAAAATAATAATAATAATAACAATAATAATAATAATAATAATAATAATAATAATGTACCAAATGAAGAAATGATGGATAGATAAGCCTCTTCATGGCCAATATTCTGCCCATACCAACCAGGCTGATGTAGACAAACCCCGTAACCATCAGTGGTTATGTAGTGCAGGGTTAAAAGCGGAAACCAATGATTTTATTCTTGTTGCACAGGAGCAATTCTTGCTAACTAGAAATTACCAAGTACACATACTGAAAAATTATGTTAAACCCAAATGCAGATCCTGTGATAAATAACCAGAAACAATTGACAATTTTGTATCAGGTTGCCTTGCTGTTAATACCCATTCAGTATAAAACTCGGCATGGTAGAATGGGCTAATATCTTCACTAGAAAATATGCAAGTTTTACGGAAACGGAAATGCAAGAAACTGGTATGAACATCACCCAGCGGTTGGACCTGTAACAATTTTGAGACTTTGCAATATACACAAGCAGAACAATCAAAGCTAATCTCCCAGACATCGTGATCAAAGACCACAAAAACAGAACATGCTTTCTTATTGACATGGCTGTCCATGAAGATCTCCAAAAAAACTATCAAAATACAAGGATCTTGAAGTGAAAATCTCAAAAATATGGCACATGAAGACATCAGTAATTCCATTTGTAATCGGTGCAGTCAGATTGATTGGAAATGGTTCTGATAGACTCATTGAAAGGATTAATGGTTGGCTATGCCTTAAAGAAATACAAAAAAAATTGTACTCACAAG